TTGTAACCCTGCTTACAATCTCATCTCTGCTCCATTTTTATTTCTTATTTCGCTCTCCTTCCTCTTGCTGTCCAGGTTGATGATGAGGACTTGCAGGACGAGCCATTGCAGGTCACAGTGTTGGACCACGACACTTACAGTGCTAATGATGCCATAGGGAAAGTTTACATTGACATTGACCCGCTGCTGTGCAGTGAGGCTGCGTCTGTCATCTCCGGCTGGTTTCCCATCTATGATACCATCCACGGTACAAACTAATCTGACCATGATAATTGCAATTTTTTTCCCCGTTATGTATTATTCCTTATGAGAAGATTTGTATGTATGTGTTTCTCTATATTTCTCTCATTAGGTATCCGAGGGGAGATAAATGTTCTCGTCAAAGTGGAGCTTTTTAATGATTTGAACCGCTTCAGACAATCCTCCTGCGGGGTCAAGTTCTTCTGCAGTACGTCTGACTTGACTTTTGTTTCCCAGTTGTTTGTTTACAGGTTAAAAATGCATCAAAAGACGCAATTTGTGTACATAAATTTCAGATTTAGACGATACATAGGGCAGTTACCCATGAAGTGGTGCAGGAAAGATGTTTAATTTGTGGACAATTTAATGTTTATGTTTTAGGCATAAAGTTGATAGAAGATAAAAAATAAGATAATTTCCTAGAAGAAGTTGTGTCAGTGCCAACTGTGCACCGTAAATTAGAAGTGGTCACTTAACAATATGTACTAAAAATGTAATAAAAGTTGAAGAGAAGTTTTTCCATTGAAATATAAAATCATTTTACTCTATGTGGTGTTTGTCTGATTGTGTATGGCAGCCACATCCATTCCACGGTGCTACCGGGCAGCGATGGTGCACGGGTTTGTGGAGGAACTTGTGGTGAATGAAGATCCAGAGTACCAGTGGATCGACCGTATTCGAACTCCTCGGGCCTCCAATGAAGCCCGTCAGAGGCTCATATCTCTTATGTCTGGTAAGAAAATTCAGTGATCCTCTTTACATGTTGGTGTGGAGGAAGAGGACTTTGATCCTCCCCGTTCTCTTGTTAATGTGGCTGTGTGTTACCCCTCATTTAGGAGAGCTGCAGAGGAAAATAGGGCTTAAGGTACTGGAGATGGGCGGGAATGCCGTGGTGGGCTACTTGCAGTGTTTTGACCTGGAGGGCGAGTCTGGCCTGGTGGTCCGGGCCATAGGTACTGCCTGCACACTGGACAAACTCAGCTCTGGAAGCGCCCCCAACACCAACACACACATGCACCCTAACACAGCTCCTGCTTCCAACGCCTGCAATTCCCCTTCCAAGGATGGAAAGGAGTGAGTATGAACCAACAACACAAGCATGGACCCTGCCTCTTTTTTTTTATGTGCAACTTTCACTACAAATCTAGTTTTGTGAGAATGCGGAAAGATGATCGGTGTGTGCATGAGAGGGAGAGTGTGTGGACAAAAGGTACTGTGTGTTGCGTCTGTTTATAGTCTAGCACTGACTCCTGTGTGTGTCTCAGTATCTTTGAGTTCCCTTGTTTGTGAGTCTAATGTGTCACCTGTATTGCATCATGAAACTAACTGCACACAGCATATCCTGAGACACACACACGTACAGTACACACACAGCCATCCTCAACCCCCCTCCTCCCTTGTCTACTCTTTTAGACCGCTCTTGCATGGCTTTCTGCTCTGCCTCTGCATGTTCTAGTGCTGCCGCCTTTTAGTGAGTATCTAGCACACGTGTCCTGCTCTGCCTCTAACACTCACTTCATTTTGTTCTGTCGTCCTCACCCTGGCTATTGAGTTAGCTCGTGATTTCATTCAGTTACTGTAAGCATAACTGTAGTCGAGTGCATGTGTGCTTCTTATTTGCATTTATTCAATGTATCTGTGTGTCAGTGACCGTGTGTGAGATTGTATCTTTCAGGGATGTAAACACTTTGGTGATGACAAGAAATACTGTAGAGTATTTGATGGTTATTTTTTTGTCAAATTTATCTGTTGATGTAATTTAATTAATCAATTAGTTCACCTTTTTATTGTATATTTTAGGGTACATGACTCCTTTCTTATTTGTCCCTGTTCTCTTGTCTGCAACTCTTTATGCTGCAGCAGTGTTGGCCCTTGCAAAAGAGGTTTCAGACCTCAGTGGGATACACCTGACTTAATAATGGTTAAATAAAAATAATAAATCAAAAATTAAATGTCAGAAAATAGTGACACGTGCCCATCACAATTTCCCAAAATTAGGTTTTCAGATTGCCTGTTATGTCTGACCAACAGTCCAACCAACCCTCTGTAGATAAACGGCTCATTGTAACGTAACTAAAACACAAGTCGTTTGTAAACTAATGAAAACATACCTATAAATGTTTTATTTCATTCCTGCCAATTGATCCTCCTAAATGTTACACACTCTGCCTTTTTGAATAACAAATCCATTATCAAAATTAATTAAATGTAACGTAATGGGGACCTTTTCATTGGGATACATTAGGAATTTCTCTACAGGTCAGCTTGTCCCTGTGCCTGTTTGGGCCTTTTGTCACCTTTTTCTGTTGTGTTTCCATCCCTGTTGTGTATGTTTGTGTGAGACTGATCTTTAGCTGAGGGCTATGCATGAGCTTTCTGCTGAGGCAAAGAAAGGGAGTAAAAACGTCTTTTCCTTTTTTGTTTCCTTTTTCACTCTATTGCGATGTTGTGGTGTTGGTTTTTGTGTGTGTCTCTTTCTTCCTCTCTGGCTCTGGGACGTTTCTCACTGCTTGTGTCCAAATCGGTCCTCTGTCTTCCTCTCTCTGCGTGCTGATTGGCCCAGGTCCCCCCTTGCCCACGGATGCCGCTCCACCCACAACAGCCCAGTGCATTCGGCCTGCAGCTCCCAGAGACTGTCCCAGAACTTCTCTGTCTCTGTTCCCACACTCATCTTCACTGGTACGCAGAGGCAGGGAAGGAAATAGATACAGGAGAAAGAGAACTCTGAAATACAAAGAGAAGTACATGATGATGTTTATGTGGAAGTAGAAAAGTGAATATATTTTTGCTGGAGTCTGGTAGAGACAGCCACGTAGTAGCAATAAAGCAATGGTGTAGACGGAGGCGTCAGGCCGTAGAAAGGAGGCAGACCCCTTTACCTTTTGTCGAAGAAAGATCCCTCCACGTGTCACGTCTTTTTCCAACGATAAGGATTGACAGTCAGGTTCCCAGTGGCGTCATTCAGCATTTTTATTGGCTGTTTGCAACAAAAACGTGCTTAAGGTGTAGCTTTAGCCCTGAGGAAGGGCCTGTGATCTCTCTACAGTCACCTGACCTTTGCTTCACTCTACTGGGACACATGCTTCAGCTCGTCATCCTCTGTTGAATCTGTCCTCCTTGTGTTTTGCCATGTTGCTTTCCTTAGTTTACTGTGTGTGTTTCTTTGTGTTTTATCTAATTTTTGCTTTCCACGCTTGCTTTTTTTTTTTTTTTTTGTTCTCCAGCCATCCGTAGCACCTCAAACACACCTCACCCAAAACAAACAAATCACACAATAAAATAGTCACCATCCCACTTAATGGCCACACTGACCCACTCCCATATATGCGCACACACACACACACACACACACTCAGAGGGGTGAGGTGGTGACTGACGTGGGTGTGTGTATTGTGTCATGTTCTCCTGGCAGGCCGGTATTTGGTGAGGACCTGCTCTCGTCCTCTGGCCCGCCAACCCCTTTCAGAGCCCTTCCCACCTCCTCCTCCTCTCCTCCCCCCTTCTCTCCCTCCAAGCCATGCAGCCGCCAGTCCTCATCATCAGACACAGACCTCAGTTTGACGCCCAAGACGGGTAAGAACACTTGGCCCCATCCCCCTCTACCATTCTCATCCCTTCCTTCTCCTTCACCTCATTGTGGTGCTACTCCGGTGATGGTTTTTTTAGATCTTTGTTTCTTTATTTGTTTTAAACATTTTTTCATGGTTGAGTTGAACATTATTTTATTGTGAATGGTATTGTACATATTTGTTTATCTGGGTCCCATCCTCCTCCTTGTCCTCAGTGGCCTGGTGTGTCTTCCTTTTTCACACTATTTAAAAAAATATATTGGACAGCCTTTAGTTTGTGTAAAACATGCTTAATAGTATGAAGACACACCAGATCTCTGTGTTAGTTTTGTCCCCTTGTTGTGGACTTTTAATGGAAGCACTGTGTCTCATGTGGGGCTGTTGTTGATCTAAGGTCACTTTTTCATTAGTAGCCATTATGGTTAATCATTGAGGAAAAGGTAAGTGTAGTCAAACTCTGCCCCAAGGACAACTTGAACACATTTTAACGCAGAACTGTAAGAACCTTCTTACCAGAGCTGCTTGCCTGACCCCTCAGGAGGAGACCAGCAGCCCAAGCCCACCTCCCCCCTCCTCGTTCCCTCTCCTCTGCTTTCCTTTTTCATATTTCCTCTTCTCTCTCTCCTATTTCTCATATTCTCTCTGTTTTTTGTCTCTCTTTTTTTTTTTTTTGCTCCTGCCCTGTATTCTCCCATTCCTTCTTTTGCCCGTTTGTGTCAACTTGCCTATCTTTATCCTGCACACCTCTTTTTTTGTAGCTTGGCTCCAATTTGATCTGCAATTCAAATAGGTCTTACGTTGTGCCTACTGATTTTCTATTTCCACTAGTTGAAGAAACCAACCAACCAGTACTTTGTGGGCATTTAGCTTGCTAGCTACATGCATGAAAAAATAGCAATAGTGATGAGATTGGAGCAGTTGTACAGGTTATTGTAAGTTGACTTACAGAAATGACACAACTCTAACTCCTACAATTTGTTCTGAAAAACATTAAGCTCTTAGCAGCTTGAAACTGGATACGTCACTCGCTACTGAGTGATTCGAGATCATTACATGGTGAATGGTTAGAGTAAAACAAAACACCCTTCAACAGCCAACATGAATGCAATTTCATGCTGAATTAATAAAGCGACACAAAATAGCAATTCAATTTGATTATCAGGCGTTAGGGTTATTCTTCCTCTATGCCAGTGTCCACTTTCTCCTCGTCATATCCTTCTCCCCGCTCCTCAGTTGTTGTGCTTCTGACCACTCTCCTCATTGCTCTGCCTGTCCATTCTCAATATCTTGTTTTTCTCTGTGCACCATCCGTCTGTTTTGTTTCTGCTGGATAGAGAAGGCCCAGCCAGTGAGACGCAGGCCTGGGATCTTCCTCTGCCCCAGCTCCCCCACCCTCTCCACAGACACTCTGTCCCTTCCTGGTTCTGGCTCAGTGGGCTGTGGTCACGGCTCTGCCCCCAGAGCCACCACCCCGCCCCCTCTCTCCTCCATCCGCTCAGACTCTGCCTTGCTGAGAAAGAGCGTGTCCTTCACCGAGGACCTGCTGCTGGCAGCCTCCGGTATAGTAGGACTGCTGTGTGTCATCAAGTAACACAACGTTTCAACAGTGCAGTGTTGGCGCTTCTCTTGTATATTGGGTCAACAGCAGGCGTGTTCATACCCAGATCCACATGACTGGTGTTATCAGGAAACATTAATTCAACACGCATGGTGTAACTGCCCAGACAACACTACTGACATACTCAGGACACTCCTACCTCAGCATGTGGTTTGATGTGTTTTCCAGGCGTACCCAAACCTTAGTCTAGGTCCAGTATTTATGCCTGAATTAGGAGTAGGCAAGCCTATTAGGATGATGGTGAAGCAGGTTTATTGAATGTGTGGTGTGCAGCTCCAGCTGTTGCTTTCACTTGACTTGTCATAAAAACATTAATACTGCAATGCAACAATCCAGTGACAGTTTGACTGGCTTTGTAGTCCATTGACCTGTGTGTTGAAAGTGATGAAACTGAAGACAGCCTCTCCTCTGTGATCAGGAATGGGCAGCGGGGGCAGTGCTGGAAAGGAGGCGGGGCCTCTGAAGACCCTGCTCAGACAACAGACGCAGACGGCTCTTGAGCAGAGGGTACGATGACACTCAACATTCACACATGCTCATAAATGTATTTACAGAGTCACTTGTGCAAACATATGAGACTGAAAACGCAGGTCAAAATGTTCAGTATCATTGAATTTTACTAGCAAAAGATTTCTAGTAACACAAGTCAAAACTGCAATTAAGGAATGTCATTCTTCACAGTTTATGCTTTGACATGCAGTTTGCGCTGCGTATCAGCCTCAGATGCCTATACACAAGTATACACACTACTATTTACACCGCTGCATTCTTTGTGAAAGATCACTAATTTACACTGGTGAGGTATTAAGTGTTTAATGGGGAGTGCGTCTGTGTAAGAGCAAATAATGTTCCCTTTCTCTGTCCTCTTAACCACTTGTGCTACTCAGGGAGCGTCCTCCTCTGGGTTATTGTTAAACGCCAGGGTATGTCCCATCCGTGTGACACTCTCACTCTCTCTACCTTTCCCCTAACACCCTGACCAGCTGATGGCCACCACCAAGTCTGAATCAACTCCTAACCTGCCCCGTCCTCTGCTGTTTGTAGATCTCAGAGGGGGCAGGCTGGGTTGAGCAACATGTCAGTGGGTCCTTGTGTGACCCCGTTTGTGTTTGCTTGCCACCCCCGCGCTCTAAAAGATTCACAGACATGTTAGGTGGAGGGCTGGAGGCTAGGAGTTGTGTTCCCTTCACGTTTGAAGGGTGCGTGTGCCTTCTGGATACTCCAAACACCTCCCCCCTTTCTGACTTCTTTTCCCCAAGTCAGATTTTGTTTTCCTGTGTCATTAAAGGGAATGAGCACGCTCACTTCATTACCTCATTCTTGCCCTCTTGCTCTGAGTGGGAGGAGCTGTCATTCAAATTAGTGTCCTTCCTTCCTGGAGTACTGGACAATAAAGAATGGTAGTACCACCAAATTCTTCTCATCTCATTTATATGCATGTTTGGAAATCAGTGTCCCTCAGGTTTTCTGTAAAGGTGGCCATCACTTCAACTTAACAGAATAAATACCAGATGCTGACAGACAGTCCAAGCATTTCCAGCTCCTCTCGTAAGTGACTGCATGACATTATTTGACTGGAGGCAGAGGACCAGCTGTCATGTTAGTGAACAGAGAGAGACGCATGTAAAACAGAGTCTAGATCCTCAGCCAAGTCCTCGTTGGGAGTGTGTTATGTGTGTGTTTGTTCTTCACTTTCAACTCCAAAACGTAATTAGTGCATTTATATAGATTTGAAAGGATTGAATGAATCACTAAATCAGTGATAGACAATATCTGGGCTCAATCACTTCCAGGTCTATTTTAAATGCTCTCGAGTTTGTGTCTACGAGTGTAGGCTGGAATGGACCGAGTGGGGAACCCTTTTTTGGGGGGGGGGTCAACCTTGCATGGGGGGTGGGGACACCATCACTGTCAATCCTTGCTGCATGTTGGTACTTTTCCTAATGCTGTTATCACCTAAGTCTACACATATCAGTTAAAGATGAGGTACATAATGTTTGGGACTTAAGACATTTTTTTTGTAATACGCCTAGAGAAACTAAATCTAAAGTTTGGTCTCCAGTTTTGAAGATTTGTATTTTCGTAGTCGTAGCTCTGTTTAGATTATGTGAATGTTTTTACATACAATTAGTTTTTATAGCCCAGATTTTTATTTCTGTTGTTGTTGAAGCCCTGAAAACATGCAGTCTGTCTTTTAGTAATATCTGAAAATAGTTCACAAATAGTCAACATAAAGTAACAATTAAACTCAGACACTGATATTATAGACCTAAAGTCATGGGGAAAAAGGAAAATCTAATTAAGTGTTACAATAATGTAGCAGTTGGTATTATTAGCAAAAATCCATAGGTAAAAAGTGTGTGTACTGTAAGTGACACAGCTGTTTTTTATCTGCAGGAGTTCCCCTTCTTCACCTTGACGTCTTTCCCGCCTGGTTTTCTGGTTCACGTCGGTGGAGTGGTCAGCGCTCGCTCTGTCAAACTACTGGACCGTATACACAACCCCGGTGAGTTGAGCACACACAAACACACAATGTCCAAATGTAGATCGTCCATTGTCCTGTGACATGATATGAGTGAGGTCCTCCACTGACCTACAGTATTGTGTGAGTGTCCGGTCTTGTTGCAACTGGCTGTTAGTTAATGCTGCCCATTATCCTGTTGTGCTGAACAGTTTTCCTGGTCCTAGTCCCAATCTGTTTTATTGTTTAGAGCAATTATGTTGAAAGACTTCAGTTATGTACAAGTCGTAAAGCAGGTGAAAGCTGTTCCTGGTCACACTTACAGTCTGCAGCTTCGTATCACTTTGATGGAAATAAAGTTAGGATAAGCTGCTACTACTACCAGTGTTAAAAAGTTTCATGGATAGGGGCAACTTTCACCTTGGTGGTTTGATTGACTGGCTTTGTGTAATGTATAGTCTGTCTCAGTCATGTGGCTGTGTGTGTGTGTATGTGGCTGTGTGTGTGTGTGAGTGTGTATGTATGCTCTGGTTGCCGTTTTGTGTGCTGCCCCCCGGAGGTGAGGTGCGATAGTGGTGCATGGCTCTAGTCTGTTGCCTGCTGCTTCTGTCGTGTGTTGGCTGCAGGTGGTACTGTGGTGTCTGACTCTCTCCCACCTTGAGTCTTAAATACGCTTCTTATCTCTGTAATAGTCAAACACCTATGGATTTTGACACAAAGACTTTTTTAATGAGATTTATATTAATGAATACCAGAAATTTGATCATGTGTCTGAATCCACTTGTCAGCCTCAGTAATTTTGCTAAGTTTAATGTTCTTTTACTACTCTGAATCAAGAAAGTCTGAGAATTTAGGGAGAGGGGAGTGCAGATGAATGTTGGCTGGGTTAGGATAAGCAGGGTTCTTTTCAGAGGTGGACAGGGGAACCAAAATAAGATTTTACTGACTATCTCCAAAAAGGTTTAGGCCTGCAATGATTAGATCTACACAAATCCTGTCTAAACTAGTGTAAACTGCATAGCTTTCACATAGTTTTCCCTGATCCACATTGCAGCATTCACCATTCTGAAAAGAGCCCTGTTCACTGTTGCTATGCCTTGACTATATTAACTACACAGCAAATATCAAAGGTACCCTGTGGAGTTTTTGACCACAAGTAGCACTATGGAGCACTAAGGGCAAACATGCACGTGTGAGTGTGCGGATGATGTGATACATACTTCAAGCTATTCCACAGAACGACAAATGGGGAGCGGTTTAACATATTACAATGGCATAACAATTTAATTGGGGGCACCCCAAAAGCTCACCGGGTAGAGATTACGCCTCGTGTACTAAGGCTGAGTCCTTACCGCAGCAGCCCGGGCTTAATTCCATTCTGTGGCTCTTCGTCATCCCCTCTCTCGCTCTACCCCCTTTCCTCTATACCTTCAGCTGTCTCAATCCATTATAGACATAAAAAGACAGAAACGATATATTAAAAAAAAAACACTGAATGTAGACATGTTTGTTTACAAGAAAACTCCACAGGGTACCTTTTTAAGTTTAGAAAGTATACTAGAGTTGGACTGCTACTGCATGCTCCTATTTTCTATTAAATTGCTTAATTCCTCCTCAAGTCTTCTTAAGATAACGGCTAGGCCTGTAGCTTTTACTCATCTCTATTCTCCTCTTTTCCTTGTCGGTGTTCTTCTTTCAAGATTGTTTTTGTAGGCCTGAATATAGTTTGTCTTTGCATAGTGACTGTGTAGTGATGTCTGTCTTTGCATAGTGACTGTGGAGTGCTGCTGTTGTGCTGTGCTTGTTTGTTAGACTATCTCTTCTTTTCTTTTTCTCTCTTTTCTGTACTAACGGTGTGTTCTGGCCCAGCCTTGGGTAACACGCGCTCATACAAACTGCTAGACTGGAATAGTGTCACTGCAGGTATTTCCCCCCTTTTACTGCTATCACCCAAAGGAGTGATGGCAGCTCAGTTAAGTTAAACCTCTTAAACCCAACGATGATATTTAACCAAAGTAGATCATCTGGCCTAAATATCCACAGACAAATTTTAGCTGGATAGTGTATAATTGAAATTTGATGAATTCGGTGAGCTGCCATTCTCCTCTCTCTAATCTGTGTGAGTGTGTGCTGAGCTGAGTTGAGCATGCGCTGTGTCCCCACCCCCACTCCATCCGGCCTGGCTTCTCCCCCCCCACCAAAGCTCATCCTGCTGCACAGAAGAGCTGATTGCTCTTCCCTAATGTTGTCCCAGCGCTGTTTTGATGCTTCCTGAATCAGCATTGTGGTCAAACCTGTCTAGACCAGAGGAGGTTTAGGAGGTTTACTCCGTGACAAAGAGCCACTGACCAGGCATGTGCATCCTTAACTCACTGGGCCGTATTCATACTGGGAGAGAGAGAGTGAAAAAGAGAGAGAGAGAGAGAGAAGGAGGGATGGATGGATGCATGGAAGGCAGGTTGATTGGATGGGTGGCAGTTAAGCAAAATAATAAAATTGATTTGATGTATGATGGGGATAGAAGGAAAGATGTGAGCTCTTGGGGAAAGGAAGGAAGCATGATATCAGTCAGTATCTTTAAAAACTAGTCTAGAATTGATGACTCTGGTGAATGAATATGGCCCTTGTCTGTCCTTGAGCGTGCACATGGTCATGAGTGTGCACGTTGGTGAGCCTGTGCCTGTGTGACATGCTGCTTCTGGTTTAAAGGAACCCACTTTGTGGGCCTGATGCCTGACCACCAGTCATTATTCTTCATCTCCTCAGTTGATCTCCCGTTCTGTTCCTCTCATCCATTCCTCTCCCTGTCTCTCCTAGCAGCTGAGTTTCTCTCTCTTTCTGGGGCTCTGTCAGCATGTGGCCCTCTCAGGGAGTCATGGTGTGCGGCTCAATACTCTAATGTTGCTTCCTTCATGCGTTCCTTGTTCAGTGATCCAGAACTACCAAATGAGTGAGATTAAACTCACAACTTGCAATGATTAGGCTCTTTTGAACAGTTTTAGTAAAACAGAGGTCTTATTGTAGCAAAGCCTCATGAGACTATTGAAACACACCCATGGTTTAGCCTACGTATGATGAAGGCTCAATCCTTTTGAATTTAAAACCTTTCTCACCAGGGTAGGAAACGCAGTGTCTTTTAGGTGATTACTCTTTAGCCAGCCAACAAAATTTCCTTTCTATAGTCAAACCACCACAGCCAAAACAGGCTTTGTTTCTCACCTGTGTCCTTTCTGTTAGTGCGGCTGACTTAAAGGAGACATAGAGAGATTTTAGATGTTTTAGTCAGTGAGAACACACATGACTAACATAACCATTGACTTTGCCTTCATCATCATCCTCAAACTCTCATGAAATCATTCTCATTGTCACTTTGTTTCACAAACTGATAGTTGGTTTTGGCTTGCTTTGATGCACCATTTAAGCCATGAATCATCAGAATATACAAACTGTACTGTTTGCTGTCTATGAATCTTCTGGTAAGTCAAAGCAGTCAGATTAGATACAGCGTTAGATACAGAATTGTCAAGGCAGTCAGTTTCTTTTTATCCAACTATGTTGACAAATGTTAGTTAGGTTTATTGTTATCTCATTATTGGCTAGACTTAAGTGTTCAGTGAGGATTTTGATACATAGCTCAGCAAATCATAATATTTTTTGTGAAAGGTGTTTGATTCAGAATTCTGTTTTTTGCAGATGAGCCAGAGACTCGCGATGCCTGGTGGGAGGAGATTCGCCAGGAGATCAAATCTCATGCCAAAGCTCTAGGTTGCCATGCTGTTGTGGGGTACAGCGAGAGCACTAGCATCTGGTGTGTAGTAGTGCATATATGTGGAAAAATGCTACCCTTTTGTGCCTGTTTTTTTCAAATTTTTATGTTATAAACCAGTTTGTCTTAAGCAAACAAGTTTCATGTCTTGTTCTCATCCTCCTCTGTTTCTTTCTCTCTTGATCTGTCCATCTCCCTTCAACACAGTGAGGAGGTGTGTATCCTGTCAGCATCAGGCACAGCAGCCATCTTGAATCCTCGGTATATGCGTGAAGGCTGCCTAGACATGGGAATCACCGACCACAGGTTGTTAGGATTCAGAGACTAAGCAAACTAATTTTAGATTCTTGTAATGTGTACAGTTTGTCAGTACAGCTTGGATTGGAGGCTGATGGCAGATGGTGTGTGTTGTTCTCCAGGTTTGAGGAGCCTTCTCACCCGAGCTGTGGCTTCTGTCACATCCCGTACGACGAGCTCAACATGCCCTTTCCCGCCCAGCTCACCTACTGTTACCACTGCAGACGACAAAAGGTCTCACATCTATTTTCTTGTTTGCCTAAATCAAAGACCGCTACATGTTAAAAAACATATTTTGGTTTTCCAGTGTATAAATGCAGTTTGGTGGTATGTGGGTAATTGTTAATAATTGTTTTTTTGTAGGTTCCTGATGTGCTGTTCACAACAATCGACCTGCCACCCGAAGCTGCTGTCACAGGGAAGGGCTGCCTAATCCAGGCCAGGTAATGCATCACACAGTTAAATGGCTCCAAAATGATGGTGCTGAATTTCTTTGATCTTTTCTAAGTAATAGCAGCAGAAGGGGCAGCATGAAGGCTGAACAACACACATCCCAAATTGATGCCTCACATCAAAGATATTGATCAAAGTGAGTTAATGCCAGAGTTTGTCTTCTAGACTGTGTCGTCTAAAGAAGAAGGCCCAGGGTGAAGTGAACGCGACCGCCATCTCCAACCTGCTGCCCTTCATGGAGTATGAGCTGCACACCCAGCTGATGAACAAACTGAAGCTGCGGAGCATGAACGCTCTGTTTGGTTTACACATACAGATCAGTGTCGGAGAGAACATGCTTCTGGGTCTGGCTGTAGGTTTACACTTTAGGTTAACAGCTTAATCAGTCGTACGTGTGTTTGCTGCACAACACAGTCCTCTTAAAATTTGTTTGTTAATATGTGCGTTCAGTCGGCTACAGGAGTGTACCTGACAGCCCTGCCGGCACCAGGGGGCATCCAGATTGCGGGGAAGACTCCAGGTGACCTGAGCAATGAGCAGCACATCCTGACCATCCAGAAAAGGATTAATGACACCATAGCCAAGAACAAAGAGCTCTATCAAATAAACCCTCCGGTGAGACACACGACACATGTGCACAGTAGCTGCTTCGTCAAGTAGGTTTTCTACAATGTTTCATGTCAACATTAGAGTAGCTAGGGTGTCATGTGGGGGGAATTGTGACTACTGTTAACAGTACAGCCCATGGCAAGTAAATACTATAAGTAAATATTAAATCAACCAAAAGGTTTAAATTTGTTCAGATGTGTTGGAAACATAGCATTTATCCTGATTTAAAAAAAAGGTGTTTTTATGATTTCATATGTCATATGTCAGAATAATATCTAAAGTTTATGGCCCTTATATACTGGGATTGTCCCAAGTGTCACATATAGTGTTATATCAAGTTAATTAGTTTTTTTTTTTACACAATGATTGCATTAATCCTTTACACAAACAGATAAATTCAGCGGTGAACTGTGTACATTATTTTGAGTATAATTCTTTCTGTTCCAGTGTTAAAATAATGTACTGAATCATACATTATATATAGTCTGTTCTTTGTGAATCATGATAAACTTACACCTCTTGTCTTTCTCTGGTCATTAAAGAAATTATTTGCCCTGGACCCTGAGGTGTTCTGCGGCATAAACATGGTACTGAGCACGGCAACTTTTAGCTGTGAGACACAGCAAAGCATGACAAATGTTTCACTATATTAATCGCAATACTACACCACTTTTACTATAACTGTATAACAGCTCTTAACTGGGGACATTTGGGAGCAGGACGATGTGTAACCCACTCCAGAGTCACCTCTCGAGGGGCAACCCACTGGACACTCATTGTATCCGTGTTAATGTATTTCTATTATGACCATCTACTCTGCCCATTCACTGTCTCACCTGTTTGTGCGTGTGTGGTTGCGCCACTCCTTACTCTTCCAGATTCATATTCAAATTAACACCGGAGTGAGAGTGAGTGTGAGCATGTAGTGTGTTATTAACATAGTCTTTCTACTAGCTGTGTAGTCTGGGCAGATGTGAGATGCAGATGTGGGCTGCTGTGCTGGTGTTCACTTTGACATCCCATCTGCTCAGGCCTCGTGTCCCTGTTGTTTGCAGGAGCTGACAGAGGAAGTGGTGGGTTCTCCGATTCCGGACCCGAGGCAACGATCCAGACTCTTCCGCTCCCACTCAGAAAGCTCAGACGAAGTGTCAGAACTCGACCTCTCGCATGGAAAGAAGGATGCCTTCGTCCTGGAGGTGTATATTTATGATAATATATAAATTTATACATTTACATTTGAACTATTTTCATGGTGTAACCATTTGCCGTGATTTCCATAGATTGATGACACGGATGCTGTGGAGGACATCCACTCCCTCCTCACTGATGCCCCTACCCCTACAGGTACGCTCTATCCACTCACTCTACCGCAGTTACAGTACATCATCACACACTGCACATGCCAGTTATCTCCTGATTGGGTCGAGCCTCTTACAAATGTCATTATTTCTGTTGCCATTTGCTTTTTTCTGTTTTCAGGTTTCTACAGCTGCAACACTGAGATCATGCCTGGGATTTACAACTGGACTTCTGGGGTTCAGGTCACTATACTGGTCATAATACTGCGAAGGTATTAAGGAAGTAGCTGTAATTTGTCTTTTTTGTTTGTTTATGCTGTGTTTCTGTCCCTGCACTCCAGATGTTTACATCAGTGAGAGTCCTTAGGTTAAGTAATGCCAATCTTACTAACCAAGGCCTGAACAAGATCTTCACTGACCTATGTGAGAATCTGCTGAAGGTAGGAACCCCTTATTGATCATCACAAGTAATTACGCCATATGTGCTGCCATACTTATCCTTCGGAATGAGCATTGTTACACTGTTTATGATGGTACTTGCAATGTTTATGTTTTGGGTTTGTTACAGAGTTTTTACTTCAAGCTGCGCTCTATGATCCCCTGCTGTCTTTGTCGTCTCAACTTCACCGTAGCAGTGCCAGAAGAAGAACTCATACAGGTGAGAAATTGTAGGCCATCTGTGATTTGTTGTTGCAAACATAACAGAACATTTTGAAATTTACATTTTGCTGTCTTCCTCCCAGGTCGCTGTGACAGCGGTTGCCATGACGTTTGACAAAGACCAGACTCAGGAGAAGCCAGCAGAAAAGCCCATCACCAAAGGTCTGTCTGGTTAAAGGAGATTTATGGTTTTGTTTAATGTTTTCTTCTTAACCCTAATTAGACAATCATTAATACCTCGTATGCATGCAGCGCACTGTAACCCTAACCCTTCGGATCTGTGGCATCAGTTGCAGCTTTGCTCAAAATGTAGGGAATCACATTTTTGACAACACTAAGTTTTAATTACGTTGTCATTTGTCTAGTGTTAACAGCTTTATTTAAGAAACATTTCCATTGCACCTTAGTGTCAAATAGTCATATTAATTCACTGTGGGTGCTTATAGAAGTAAATTGGAAGTTGAATGTAATCAGTTTTCCTTCTTGCTTGGACAAAAAAGCTTTATCTCTGAGTGGAGCTGCTGCTTGATCTTATAGCCATGCAGTAACTGAGCTAAGATGGGGTTAATATCAATATTCAAAAAGCCTTGAAACTGCATGCAGAAACGCATAAAGGTCTTTAAGAGTTTGTCTCAGTAGTAGTGAAGTCGGAAAACAGGACTATCCTTTTAAGACCACACTAGCCTGAGTCGTGTAACCCATCTAAGAAGCATCACTTCTGTTGTGTTTCTTGTGTTTGAAATCTGGCTAAAGTACTTGGGTGATTCTGTGAATCTTTTCAGGATGCAGTGAGACTGAAGATCAGCTGCAGTTTCCCTTGGAGTTGTGCGCAGACGCGTCATCTGCCAACAATCAGCCATCATCCAAAATCTCAGGTAGCCTCTAACCATGTTTTTTTGTAATTTGCTCCCTGACCACCTCCTCTGCCCTGCCTCACTAACAGGCATTGCCCATCTCCTCCACTAACACTTCAGGTACAGTCTCTTTACTCACCCCAGCTGCAAAACTCTGCCATAATCAGCTGGTTATGGTCCGTTCAGCAGGTAAATAAATGCTGGTGTGTCATAGCCCAGTCAGTGTGTTCTGTTTTGATGTGAACTTAGATGGGGCAGTGTGTGATGTTGTCTAGATGAGACGTCATGCTCCTAAACCAGCATGGCTTACTTTCCATTCACACAGTAATAAGAGCGCTCTAGCGAGTGCTGACTATAGGCGGAGCATTTTGATTGATAAAACATTCGGATTTTGAAGTGAAAGCTTGGTAACACATGCTGTGTTAGCCTTGTGGCAAGAGCAAGGATTTGACCCCGAACCCTTCCTGGTCTCTGTCAAGCACAAAGGTAGACTGTGATGTGTGTGTGTTTGTGTGTGTGTGTGTGTGTGTGTGACAGGTGTCCCAGAGACTACCAACGTCTCATCTAGAGGTAAGCCCCCTTCTCCTCAACCATCTACCCCTAACCCACCTCCCTGCTACCAAAACTACTACACTGCCCTGTTTTGACTTTTCATCCTTTTGTCTCGGACAGAGTTATTCTGCACCGCTCCCAAACCTCATCCACTTTTGTTCTTTTCTGTTCGTTTGTTTCTTTTTTTGTGTCTTGTTTTGTATTTTTCTCTTTTTGTTGTTGTTGCGTTTGTGTATGTTTGGTTGTGGGCTGTGTGTGCGTGTGTGTGCGTGTGTGTGTGCGTGTGTGTGCGTGCGTGTGTGTGTTCTCTCCAGCTGCCTCCGTTGATTACGGTTCCTTTGCAGACAGATGCAGCACCTGGCTAGAGCTGCTTAGGCTGAAAGCTCACACCATAAGACGAGGATCAGTTAAGACAAGTAGGAGGACACAGTCTCTAGCACACTCTGGTGATCATACCCACAAATACAGAACACAGTTTGACAAGCAATCCCACACACACACACACACACACGCTCGCATACACTCACACACCCCTCAATGCATGTCGCTGGGGGGCGGAGCATCGCAAATCAAGCACCAGCTTTATAGCTAGAGTGTGAAAGTTGAAGCCCCGCCCCTCAGAGGGATCCACAATCAGCAGCTTGGCTTTGAAGTGCCTTTAGCAGCGGTAGCCATGACCAATAAATAGGAAGCTTTTTTTTTTCAGCGTGCTTGGATTGAACTTGCCGCATTTTGATGACAATTACTGGAAGAATTCCTTAGATTTTTCCCTGCATTTGCAATCATGAATTTGTCTAAGCTGGGAAGACATTACATGACTTGAGGATGTACTGTACACATACAACTCTGAATGTGGTAAAAAAAAAAATCACAGTGGGGCCTTGGGAAATGCTTTTCTGCAAGATCTGGTATGATTTTCAGTCCTGTGCACTGTAAGTGAACTACAGTAATGTGTGGCTCTGAAGGTTCCTGGTTTGATGGATGTAAGCCACATCAGGTAAATTTGCAGTAAGACGATGGCGCATCTTTCACACTCTGGCTTGTGTACATGTGCCCAGCTCAGCTCATAGCTGTCTCTGTCCGTCTCCATTTCTCAGACCTCTTTCACAAATATCCTCCCATGTTACTCCACTGTACTGCAAATATTGTATTCACACACGTAAGCATACACAGCTGTGCCCAGGTCTGTTTGTCTGTCTGCAGACACTGTGTAACTGTCTTTTCTTCTTGCCTGAACTGCATGAATGCATGGCAGCGCACGCTTTCCACGTGATTGTCTTGCCACCACATATCCGCACCACACATCCACACCTACCTACCTAACACACACAGATTCACTCACATATAAGTGTACACACGTGTTACTCCTGCTGTGCAAATGCTAACAGGATTGCATTTTTCCACGTACATTCTACATTCACATTTCTTTCTGCTTTAAAGTCCATATCTGCTTTTTATTTTTCCACTATTTTTGAATGTTTTCTGGTATCTCCATTGCCTTTTTTGTCTTTTTTTTTCTCCCTCCCTTCTTTTTGTTTGCTTTTCACGTATTCCTCTGTTGGACCTCTACCTGCTCTCTCTGAACCTGCAGTCTCATCTTTGGACCGCTCCAGTCCACTGCCGGAGGGACGTTCCCGCTCGCTGCGATCCAACCGCTCGTTTGCGGGCGGTTCAGTCACCGTGGTCAAGATGACGCCGCTCTCCTTCCTCCCTGGGACACGCATCATTAAATACCTTGGGATCATCAACATGTTTTTCATCAGAGAGACCTCATCGTTACGGGAGGTACGACTGCAAGGACATGCCACGTCCGTTGGCTCTATCTTGTGCAAAGTGTAGACGTACCTGTTTACATGAAATGTGCGTGTTTGTCCTCTGCAGGAAGGCGGCGTCAGCGGCTTCCTCCATACATTCATTGCAGAGGTGTTTGCGATGGTTCGAGCCCATGTAGCAGCCCTGGGGGGCAATGCAGTTGTGTCCTACAGCATGAAAGAGTGTGTGTTTATGGAAAATCCAAACAAGAACCAGGTACCCACACAAACACACTCATGCACATCACAGAACATCAACAATCCACTCGTACATGAAAGCACAAAGCACAAAACTACTCTTGGCATCTTCAGAACCTTAAAATTATTGGTGTTCTTAGGGTTTAATCCTGTCTTTGTTCCTCCTTTATAGGCTCAGTGTCTCATCAATGTGAGCGGTGATGCCGTCATCTGTGTCAGGGAAACGGACCAGGAGCCCATTCCCTCAATGACAAATATCGGACAGACCTGCACTAGCGGAACAGATGGGGCTACATGACAGTGAAACAAAGAGCCTCACTTTGTCTGCAGGACTCTGAGTCTAGCCATTCAAATATGAGTCATTTATTGTCTGCCTTAAAACTCTGTAAAAGATCCAAAGGGTTGGACACAGGTAATAAAGAACAAAAAGTACTCCCATACACTCATAAACATGCAGTCTGTATTAATATAAGAGTGCAGACTGTTTCCTTGTGTTTTTCTATGTTCAACGAGAGTGCAGGAGGTACTGATGCAGCTCTTTTGGGAATTAGGTCATCTGAGTGGGTTTTAAAAAAGTTTTGGTTAAAACATCAACAGCCAAAGGACTTCTCTGAATCTAACTTTTGTCTCTGTATTACAACCGTCCATTGTGGGGTCACTCAAAGATGCAGTACGTTGGCCATCCCGTTGTGTGTGGGTGTGGGCACAAGTGACGTTTGAGGCAGCTATGACTAATTTGTCCATCCACAGCTCACAGGCGGAGTCATTAAAGGGCCATGCCAAAAGGGACTGACACAGTTGTATGCCATCGACTCATTTCAATGCAGTCAGATTCTCACTCTGTGATAGAAGGCCCATCTGCTCATTTCAAAGTAACCACATAATAAAAACTGTGTCAGGCAAAGGCAAAGTATTTAATTGTCAACAAGGCTGGTACTCCACCCAGGAATGGAAAATGTTGATGCTAGAACCCAAACAACCCAGACACATCTGTGATGCCATTTTGTTATAATTATCTACTAGTTAACTGGTGTCCTGTTTTTAATGTTTAAATAAGATTTTGTATTGATTTGATTGGTAATCTTCCTACTGTCACAGTATTGCTCTCAAGCAGTATCGTAAAGATAATCAAATTCCTTTAGAAATTGTCAAATAATGTCAGTCTTGTTCTGTCATGCATCAGTTGGGGAGGATTTCAGGCAATGAACATTTTTTTTTTTTATAGGGCAATAATTTTCCTTTTAGAACAACCATTGACGTTGTGTTCCAATGATTATTTTATAAATTAAAAATGATCAGGATTTTTATTTCTTGAAATGGTAAAATGGCATAATGTGTGTGTGCATTGTATTCACATGTACATCTGGAGTGAGAGGGCAAATGGTGATGGGTATAATGGTCAGATGGATATAAATGAAACAGACTTGCAGTCTTAGTCATATAATGTGGACTTAAGGGAAGCCAAGGATATTTCATAGGATAAAGTCTTTGAGATCGCTTTGACTGAATTAAACCTTTTAGCTGTGTGAAGTAACTTTTGCTTCACTTGCAGCTCTAGGGTGATTTGTCATTGTCAGATTCATCACTGTTGCTTTGGAGCTCATGTTCTGAGTAATAGTCCTGCTACTGATCTGTCTTTTTTTCGACGTTCAATGTCCAATGCTGGAAAAAGCATCTTCTGGTTTAGGTGCCACCTGAAAATAAACTGTGTAAATGTTCTCTAAAAAAAAGATTTTAGTATTTTTGTAACATAGACTTTATGAAACTTAACTGCTTGTTATTGCCTGTGCAATCAATCCCTGATGTTTTGACTCACCCTGTCAGAGAATTAGTGATACTCTAATCTGTTTGTGATCAGTTTCCTATATTTGTGTCTAAAAACTTGAATGTACATACTTAGATACATTCGCTTTCTGACTAGCAGCATGCAGACCCACTTTTTATTGCCATGAATCTGTATGCTTGCCTGGTAAGTCTTGCACAATAAACTCAAAGAAAGATGCATCTGTTTGATCATCATCTTTTGGCTGATGAACACACTTTTTCTTTTTTTAAATAGTAAATTGATATATTGTTGGCTCACAGCCAGTGATGGAGGAAATATTCAGATCCTGTAAAAAAAATACTGTTAAAAGTGCTGCATTGAAAATGTTATTAAAACCCCTTACAAAGAAGTTTTTAACTGGTTATTAAACAGTCTCAGTTTAATACTGAAATGCCTCTATACTGACCTAAACGACCAATTGTGATTACACTCGGCGTTTTCTATGTAGTTATTCTGAATGGCCTGCTAAAAGGGTCAGAATCCCCCTTTACATGCTTTTGTCCACAGGGTCAGCCAAAAGTTAAAAGAAAAAAAAAAAAAAAACTGCTGCTTTAAGTTAAAGTATATAAGTAAGTATACTCAGGAAAATGATCTTAAAGTATTAAGAGCAAAAGTACCCAATGCATCCTGTACTATATAATTGGATTATTATATGGTTTATGTTGTAGTTGGTTGTGGTTAAGCTAATTTTTTTTTAGGATAGCTAGGAGCAGGGAAACTTTAGGGAAACTTCCAGGCGGTTCTTCGCCACATATTAAAACACACACACACACACACACACACAGAGGAAAGACAGCTAACAGGGCGGAAACACCACATTCAAAGTAAGTTCAGTGGAGGGCTAACTTAGCTTTCCAGCACGCACGCAGCTAAAGTTGTTAAGTCTCACCTCGGATTCTGACGTAGAGGGAAACACAAAAAGCAGGCCAGATAGATGACGCGCCATGCAGCCAGAGGAACATCGCCGTGGCAGGACGATTCGCCCCCCATCTGTCTGGAGGCCCGAGATGCTCCTTAAGAGACGGGGAGCCAGTCCGCGGATGTTGCCGATATCTTCCCGTTTTCCTGCGCGGGGCACGGGACGGAGAGAGCTGGTTTTAACGTAGCCGGGGGCGCGACAGTAGCGGTGACGGTTGCTGTTGCAGCGACGCCAACGGTCGCCATGAGTCCTAAGGTTCGGTCGGCGGCGTTATGCTGCCCATTCCAAGGTAACATCGGAGAGAAACGGGTTGGTGTTGAAAAGGGTTTTTAAGCGAGGGTTTTTCGTTCTTTGTCTGTTTTATTATTATTTTACGTTATTCAGTTATTTTCATACACACGTTTTTCATTTTTACACGGGCTTGAACGCCCCATTTTGGAATTTATTCTGTTCTGATTAAATACTTATATTGATTTTGTGATTTCTTTAAACCAACAATTTAATCAAAATTAAATAATTACTATAAAATAATCATTATCCTATTAAAATATTTA